ATCAGAGGTCATATAATTTCAGCAAATATCTTAAGAAATATATAAAGAATACTATTAGATTAAAAGCACTAAAAATGTCTGCAGCAAAGATTTAATTTAATTTAATTTCCAAACTCACTTGCTCACAGAATCCTTTTCTCTTGACAAACCTGTTAATATCCTGCAATTTACATGAGATACACAATAGGTACTTTGGGAAATGTTGCATTTCGACATGCTGCCGTTCACTACCCTCCAATAAAGACACAGGATTATCATTCCTATTTTATAAATGTTGAAAGTAAGGCTCAGAGAAGCTAAATGTAAATGACTACTCTGCTTAGTGGAGATCAGAGTTTAAAATGAGATTCTGATTTTAGTGCAGTATTCTTTCTACTATATCAAACACACATTCAAATTATTGATGTCATAAGAATTTTAGGATACAGATAAGGCCAAGGTTTCATGTAATCTCTCTTCTAAATTACTACCTAATATTTGCCTTTTCCTTCTTGGTAATTTTTTTTTATCTCTGATATTAAGACAAATCACTGCCAATATATATGATTAAGATAGAATCTGGAAATTTATGATTTTGCATATATTTTACTTTTAAGTGGTTCTTGGGTTTAGTGCCCCTAGGTGTCTCAAACAGTTAAGCATTCTCCTAAAGGCTATTGGTGTGACTTTGTAGGATCAGCCCTTGATTTTGAGCTATAAGGTAGGCAGTTCAAACCCATAAACTGGAAACCCTTTTCAGGGTCACTCTGAGTTGGAACCAACTGAACATCATTTAATAACAACAACACTAGCCAAGAGATTGGCAGTTAGAATCCACCAGTTAAATGTACCTGGGAAACAGACCTGGCAATCTGCTTCCAAAAAATAATCACCCTGAACACCGGATGGAACCATTGTATTCTGCACATGTGTGGTCACTTTGAGTGGTAACTGACTAGATGGCAACTAACAACAACAATCACCAACTTGTGTTGTTGTTGTTTTTAAGTGCTGTCAAGTTGGTTTTAACTCAGAGTAACTCTGTGTAGGATTTCTGAGGAGCAGTTGGTGTGTTTGGGTTAGCAGTCCAGTGTTTATCCTACAGCAGCATACCAGAACTCCAACTTGTGGTAGCTATATAGAATTCTGGTCAATATGTCATAATGTCCTCAAGAAGCGTAAATAACTAATACAAGAAAAAGTAAACAGACTTTTCAGGGAAAAAGGAGCATTACATTTCTTTAATTCAGTGACTTCTACTGGTACTCTGTGTGTGTGTGTGTGTGTGTGTGTGTGTGTGTGTGTTTGCAACTTGGTTAGGTTCCACTTTGGAGTTATGTTGTCAATGGCTACTTTCCACTTTTTGTAAAATGAACTGAAGCATTGTTGCTGTTGTTAGGTACCATAGAGTCGGTACTGACCCATAGCAACCTTATGCAAAGCAGAACAAAACACTGCCTGATCCTGGGCCAACCTCACTACTGCTGCCACGTTTGAGTCCATGGATGCTGCCACTTGGCCAATCCATCCCACTGGGGGTCTTCTTCGTTTTCTCTGACCCTCCACCTTACCAAACATGATATCCTTCTCCAGCGACTGGTCCCTCCTGACGATATGTTCGAAGTATGAAAGACAAAGATTGGCCATTTTGACCTCCAAGATGAACCATTGTTTATTGTTATTATGTGCCTTGGAGTCAGTTCCGACCCATAGCGACTCTGTACAGGGTTTCCGAGGCTGAAAATCTTTACGGGAGCAGAAAGCCTCATCTTTCTTCCATGAACAGCTGGTAGTTTCGAACTGCTGACCATGAGATTTGCAGCCCAATTCGAACCATATGTAGGATCAATTAGAATAGTTGGCCACATAGAGCTAACTGAATCAATTTCGTTATTTTTGTTAGTAATTTGTACTTATAGACTAAGTGAAGTTGAAAATTAAGTCATGTAAAGTGAATCATACTTTCACCACATATTCAAATAATGTAGAGATTTTTTTCTGCTCTCATTTTTCCATATAAAATATGGCTTCAATGGGATGGCCACTGTATGTTTAATGCAAGGGTATTTTGCAATTGAGGTACTCTTTTTTATTTATATTTTTGCTTGTTTAGTCAATTCTGAAATCTCTTTAAGTATAAATTAATAATTTCAGGAGCACAATTGGAAAAGTGTGAGGTAACATATGTACCCCAGTGTCATAAGGAAGCCCTCCCAGCCCTCTCCTATCTATTTGCTTGTTTAAACTCATGAACTCTCAAAAAAATATGCTTTCTGAGGCACTGCTGAAAATTTGTCCTTGAATTTCTGGTCAAGTGCCTATTACATTACTGTATTGTGGCATAACTGTTTGATAGAAATGCATAACAATAAAATAATTGATTTGCAGGTAATGCAAATTGCTTTAAAACCATCATAGCCTTAGAGTGATTTCCAATAGGCAACCCCACAGGATGTTAAGAGAACTTACAGTACTTCCTTTTCTTCAGTCTTGAGGATTTGGAGGATCTCTTCTTTCTTTGCTGTCCTGAGGTGCTGAATCAAGGTCAGGAAGCTTCTGACAGCCCCAACCTTGGAAAGGTTGTCAGGGAGAAGGTCCTTTCTGATGGACTGCCAGTGCTTCAAGAGCTGAAAAACAAGGCTGCCGCTCACACCACGTTCTGAACATCCACATTTTGTAAAAAATGTGCTCCCCAGCAATAGAGCTTTCCTTGTACCTCATAAGCATTTTGAATCTTATCTCAATATACCTGGCTCCTCCCACCTCCACTCATATCATCCCTATCACTCTCAGAAGCAAATATGGATATCTGGAAATGGACCCTATGTACCCATTACTATTTAGCTCAAAGGCAACAGCTTATTGGTTCTGGGTATATCGGTCATGCTACGGTAACAACAGGGAATCATATTTGAAGTTAGGCTTTGATTACCACTAAGAACTTGTGCAGAATTTCAATTAGCAACAGGATATTTTACCAGGAAAAATTCTTGCTTCAGGTTTCTAATTTACCTGTACCTCACTGAAAATAAGCGTATGTTATAATTTGAGCTCCCTATTGTATTTTTTGTATGAAATGTAACACTTCAATATTGATAAAGTATGACGTGTTCATTACTTACATAATATGTGTTAAGTAGGACTTCAGAGTAGAATTTAGATAAATGCAATTCTCCCACACACAATAATTATTCTATATGGTATTTGAAATAGTAACTAGTTCTACTCAAAAGTATCTCTTGGCTTTGAAACATGTTAAAAGAACTTATTTTCATAGTTAACAATTTCCCCCTTGTTGCAAGGAATATCTGTGATCTCTAACTCTCTAACTCTTTTTTATTTTACTTATTATTTTAAATTACTTTTTCCTCCTAATAGTCAATAGATGCTTATTTTTCTATTTTCCAAATTCCTCTGGTTAGCTAATCAAAGGGGAAATTCCAAGGAAAATTTCTTTGTTATTCTTAGCTAAAGGCTTAGTGGTTCATTTCTGAGGTCAGAAAGCATATCAACGTGAATTCAGTTTTAAATTTTTTTTTCTGTTTTAAAGAGTTGCAGTAGTGACATATTGAAATTAGAAAAGTAAAATCTTTAATGATATAAACTCTTTCTATAAAGTTAAGAGAAATTTAATAAAAATATTAAGTATCTTATGTTAATAACTATGTGGGGGAAATTAATATTTCTAAGCATAAGAAAAGCTACATTTCATTAGTGATGTTCCTGAATAATTCCCATCTCATATGTTATCAGTAAATAATGTTGGAATAGTCAATGACATTTGGAAGAATAACAAGTAAAAGGAAAAACAAACTTCAAGGATTTCCTATTTTATTTGGTTTCCCCTTGATTTTAATTTGGCAAATCTGAGAAACTAGTAAGGAATTAGTCACTTGTGTTTTAAGAAAATCATGATATTAGTTCTTGATGATTCCAATTTTCCAAACACCAGTAATGCCCAAAGGGAAGAGCATTTTCTGGTTGTTAAACACAGAGCATGAAGCCAAGGGTTTGCTCTCCTGATAAGAAGTTAAGTATTAAGAATGTAATACATGAGATTGGCATAGCTCTTCCTTGAATTAAGTGTTTTAAGAGGATCTATACTTTGCCTCAGAGATATGATACTTCATTTCTGCCTGAATTGTAGGGGAAGTTGGAGCCTGGCAAAGAAATGTTCCAAATGTAGGCATCCCTTTTAGTCCTCAGAGTAATACTCAGGATATTGAACTCACTAAATACATCTTACTAGAGAATATATTGCTACCAACTAGTAAAATTTCAGGATTCAAACCTATATCCAAGCTCTTGACAACGTATGCTTCAGCTAACTTCATCAGACTCTTTAACTTCTGGCTACTACTTTTAAAAAGCTTCCCTTAATTTGTATCATTTTGATTTGAGATGAGTGAGTGGTAATTTTTGTTAATTACTGTGTGTATCATGCATCATCTCAGGTGCATAGGTTACTGTTACCACAATTCAGTGGTGACTGGTATTTCTTTATATAGTTTCTTCATACATAGCATGAAGGTGAAGGTTCCATTGGAGATCCAAGGATAATACAGAGTATTAAGTCATGTTTTTTACCATATTTGTCCATATACGCAGTGGTGAACACTTACAGATGGGCATCTTTTACACTCGCTCTGAAAGATCTGTCCTACAATGGGAACGGCCAAGTACTTTGAATCAACTGCTTTAATTACAGCTGCAACATTCTTTCCAGACATTAGTCTTGGTCCTGCATCAGTTGTCTTCAACTCTAATTTCTGCCTGCATAACCATGGAAGAGAAATTTCACGTTACCAGCAGTCTTTTTAGTAAAGAAGGTATTAGTTGCCATTCTGTGGGAAAAAGATACTAATTTATTCAAAGTGTGTGAGGCAGTATCTTTCAAACTGGAATATTTCAAGAGGTACCATATCAGCTGCAAGATAATTATGTAGTCTTTCTGAAGCAACGATTGTATTCAAAGATACGGAATGGTAATCAAGTTTAAAAAAAAAAAAAATACACACATGAAAATAGAATACAGAAGAAAAAAATTTGTCTGGATGCCAAACAAGGTAAGTGTGGCAGCTCTTTCTAATTTAACCTAGTTTTCTGAAAGTACTGCTCTCTACTACATGTCCCTCATTAACCAAGACATGTAGGATATTTTATTTTCCAAAAATAGTCTCAACAGTATTTTTGTTCCACATGCTCTTCCTGTCATTTTCCTACCAATAGGTAGAGTCTATATCCCTGCCCTTGAACCTGGGCAGGACTCCGTGACTGCCTTGATAGGTAAAATTGACATTATGTGACTTCTAAGGCTAGGCCATAAAAAAAAGTATTCTTCTTTGGAGCCTTGAACTTCCATATGAGAAGTCTGGCTCCCTGAAACTTCCATGCTGAGAGGCCCCATGGAGAAAAAGAGAGATGCATGAAGACCCACAGTTGTTTGACTCCTCCCAGCTCAGGCACCAGATAGATGAAGAAGCAACCCTCAAATAATTTCAGATCTGGCCAGCAGCTGTCTGCAAATACATACTAGACACCAAGCAAGGCATGCCTAACTGAGCCAAGTCACACCCCAGAATTATAAGAGAGAATAATAAAATTATTTTTATCCTTTTAAATCATTACATTTGAGGTAGTCTGTCACACTGCAATGAAACACTAATAACCTGACTTTAAATATGTAGTCATTAAGACTATGTATTTTATATGAAAACATTACAGAATGTTGTTGTTGTTCAGTGCTGTTGAGTCACTTCCAACTCATAGTGATCCTGTATAAAGTTTCCAAGGCTATAAATTTTTGGGGGAACAGAAAGCCTCATCGTTCTCCCACATAGATACAGAGTAGAATATAAAATTCTACTCCATATAAAGCTTCAATAAAATTTAAAACATTTGTGGTATGAAGCACTCTCGCAAGATTTTATATCCACTTACCTCTGAGATTAGGGTTATTTCAAAATAAATGATATAGAAGTAATGGCATAATTCGGCAACCTTGAATGCTAGAGTTATTTTTTCTTTTCTGAATTAAAATTTGAAAATAGCTCATAACTTTACATTTGAAATTCTTATTCTTTATCCTGTGAGAACCATTATGTACAGTGGCATTTTCTCAAATTGAAATAAAAACCTTGGATACGTGCATTATGTTGTTGTTACTTTTACATGCCATTGAGTTGATTCCAACTAATAATGGCCCTGTATTGGGCCAAGGAGCGGCTGGTGGGTTTGAACCTTTGATCTTTTGGTTAACAGCCCAGTGCTTATCCTACATTACTATATCTGTCACATTTTTTTTTACTATGGAAATTTTACGTATTTCTTTAAAAAATAATCATGCAAATACTATCATCTTTTAACCTTCACATTAAAAAAACATTTGACTGAAAAATTAGAAAATAAACTACAAAGGATCAAGTAATTTGGCATTTTAAAATATAAATTATATTCAATAAATGATTGATTTTTAATGAAATTCTATTTTCTAAAAAGTTTCCAAGTGTTTACCATATGCTAGGGATTCCTTTAAATAAGAAAAATAAAAATGAAAGAGATAAAAATCATAGTTTTCAAGGAACTGATGATCAAAATGAGGAAGTACTCAATGGGCCTTCAAAAAGTTCATGGAAAAACTGCAATGAAAAGATAATGACATTTTTTTCTACAAACTGCAAGGTCAATCTGAGCTGCAAGGTCAGCAGTTCAAATCTCGGAAACCATATACAGGATCTCTATGAGTTGGAACTGACTCGAAGGCACTGAACAACAACAACATTCTATAATGTTTTGTTTCTTCTATTAAAGATTAGCAAAGAAAATAAAAGTGTCAGCATCATCTTACTTTGAAACGATTTTGCCTGTAACAGTTCGTAGGAAATTCAGCCCAAAAGCATGCGTCTCTTCTGCGATCACAGCTATCACAAAGCTGTCTTCTATCTTATAGGTAGTAACAGATGTGGCTTTTGAACTGACACCCAAGATCTGCATATGAAAGTAAATAAATAAATATTAGTAACAAATAACAAATTTCTAATCTTTAAAGTATTTGAGAACTTCCCTCAAACCCTCCCCCATGGCCCAAACCTACAATGTATCTAATAATAGTCTATTAATTTGCTATGCATGAAACTACAACCTAAACTAAAAAGTAGGTGCTCTTCAAATTATATTCTATAATTTTATTCTTCTATTATTTAAAATAAATCTTTGCAAAACGTAATTATTTGAATGCCTCAAAGAATATGGTATTGTTCATACCTGATTCCGAGTAGTAAAGCCAGATCTTGCTATTTTGCATGAATCCAAAGCCTTGATTTTAGTTACTTTGTCTTGATGAGCTTGGTAGGTCACTTTACAGTCCCCAGAGATATCTACCTAAAAAGAACGTAAGAACATAACTTTTGGGATTCTCCAGAGAGCCTATTGAATTCTAATGAGACGTGGCTTCAAAATTGGAAATGTCATTGGGACAAGCTTTTTTTTCTTGGTTGACCAAGATAAGAAGACAGAAAGAAATACTCATATGATATGTCCTGCATCATTTACATTATTTTTCATTCCCCTTGGTAAAATCTTACTAACACCCTCTTGCAGTTCCCAGAATAACACAGAATTTCCTACTTCTCTCTAATGCCCAATAAGTGTTGGACAAATGACCTGGTCATAATTGAAACCTCTGGTTAATTGTATCATGTGACAAGGGGAGTTAACTTTCAGTATGGAATCTAGGCTGTGTGTCTATGTGTGTGTGTGTGTGTATGTTAAGTGCCTTTGAGTCAATTCTGATTCATAGAGATCCTATATAGGATTTTTGAGGCTATAAATCTTTGCAGGAGCAGAAAGCCTCATCTGTCTCCCATAGAAATGCTGGTGGACTCAAACTGCCAACTTTGTAGTTCCATAGTTCAGTGCTTATCCTACACAGCCACTGCACTCTCATTTTTTGCTTGTAAAATCATTCAATATGGCAACCCAAGGCTTGATTCTTTTCTTCAGTCCTTTCAGCTTTAGAAATGTAGACCATGTTCTTCCCCTTTAGTTTGTTGTGTTTCCCTTTGGCTAAGCATGTTTAGAAACTCAGAAAATTGTGAGATTAATTCAACTCATTATTAATCACACCAACAATTTGAGTTTAGACAGACATAGCTCAATATAGATACTGTGTAATTTCTCTGAGCTATTTTTCAGACCTCTGACAGTATCATACTCAGCCTCTGTTCTAACAAACTAATCAACATTCCCCAGACCCCATTCTATGGGAAGATTTCACCCACTCATGAATTCAGATTATGAAATTTGGACTCCAGACTCAGCTCTGCTTTTGACTACAAGTGTGGTACTGGGTGAGCCACTTAACTCCTCTAGTTTAACATGCATTTTCTTTATCTGTAAAATAAAAGGAGTGGTATACACTGGTGGTTTCTCAAATTGACAATGGATCCAAATTACCCAAGACAACTATCAAGCGACAAACATGTAGGCCCTGGCTAAAACAAAATCAGAATCTCTGGGAAGAGTCCAATCAATCTGCAGACCCATGGGATAGTAGTACATAGTGATGAATAGGATCACTGGAACAATCTCCAGTGTTTTCTGTTCAATTAGTCTATAAATCCCCTAGTTGAACTGATTCAAATCCCCTTATTTGGTGTTCCTAAAATGCTTATACTTGAAAAACTAATTATTTCATATGTCAATGAGACTTGACCACCTAACTCACCTTTTCAAATTACAGTTATGGTAGTACTCTTTTTTTTTTCTGAATTTCTATCAATAAAAATCCATACAAGCAATCTTGATTGCCCGGTTGTTAAAGTGGATGTTGTAAGGTGCTTAGCCACCATACATAACTACCTGATGTGACAGAATAGAACTGTCCCCAGAAGGTTTTCAAGGCTATGGCCTTCTTCAGCAGAGCAACTGGATGGGTTTTAACTGCCAGGCATTCTGTTAGCAACTGAGCACAAACGTTTGCATCACCAATGCTTTTTGTGAAAAATAAGGAAAGATGCTGGATTCATTAATAATATTATTAAGTACCTCATTGGTGGTTCCTGAGCTTAATTGCATCTGAAATAAACTAGCCAGGCCTCTTTTGAGATTTTCTATGGCCACTGGCTCGTTCTGATATGAGTAGAACTCTTTGACCTAGGAGAAAAAAGAACAAACACAAATGAAACACAAATATCACAATTAGCAGGTTGGGCTAAAAGAGTGGTAAGAAAGGTCATATTTTCTCAGTGTCATTAATTATGGGAGAAAGAGCTCTCAGAATTACTAGCTGGAATTTCTTTTTGTGAAAAGAAGCTATTTAAATTTCTAAGAATCTGTTGTTGTTGTTAGGTGCCATGGACTCATAGTGACACCTGCACATCTGAATGAAACACTGCCTGGTCCTGTGCCACCCTCACAAACATTACTACATCTGTGCCCATCACTACTGCCACTATACCACTCTCATTGGGGGTCTTCCTCTTTTCCTCCAACCCTCCACTTGACTAAACATGATATCCTTCTCCAGTGATTGGTCCCTCCTGATAATATGTCAGAAGTATGAAAGACGAAGTCAGGCCATCATGGCTTCTAAGGAGCACTCTGGCTGTACTTCTTCCAACACAGATTTGTTTGTTCTTTTGGCAGTCCACAATACTTTTAATATTCTCCTCCAACACCATAACTCAAATGCATTAATTCTTGTACTGTCTTCCTTATTTACTCTCTAACTTTCACATGCATATGAGGTTATTGAAAATAACATGGCTTGGGTCAGATGCACCTTAGTCTTCCAAACAGACATCTTTGCTTTTGAATACTTTAAAGAGGTTCTGTGCAACAGATTTGTCTAATGCAAGAAGCTAGACAGTCAGATAATGGAAGCTCTGAACATGGTTGTTGTTGTTGAGTGCTGTCGAGTCTATTCCTACTCATAGCAACCCTTTACAGGGTTTCTGAGGATCAGCTAGTTAGTTTGAACTGCTGAACTGGTGGTTTGAAGTCCAGTGTTGATCCTACAGCACCACACCAGGAGTTCAGTGGGTATGGTAGAGCAAGGGAAAAGAGCACTGAGATTAATTGGGATTTCTCTGAAACCAAGGACTGCCCCCAAAGGGACATGAAGCCCATTCTTTTAGAACATATCGACATGTCAATCTGTAAACCTGCTTAAAACAAAAAGTTGCCAAGATTTAAAATAATAACAAGGAAAACAGTGTTGAAAGAGAATGGCAACCATCAGTCTTGAGACTAATGAGATGGCACAACCTATATGACAAGAGCCCAAGCAAGTGGTTCAAGCTCACCAGCCGCTCCTCAGAAACCCTAAAAAGGGTCACTATGAGTCAGAATCGACTCAACGGCACTTAACAACAACAAAAATTTTACATTGGAGACATTTTCTTGCCCTCAACATGAGCAGTCACGTTGGCCTTGGTTACAAGGAGATACTGAGATGGGCAGATTTGAAGTTGAGATTGCTACTATTTAACAATCTGCTGCAGATGCTTTTCAAAATTAAGGAATGGGGAGATAAGCATGATTCAGCAACAGCATGGATGTAGACAGCTTAGCTTAGCTTTGTTTCATCTTTAATATGTATAGGATTTATAGCCACAGGAATAATAATGGTATCATAGCTCCTTGGAGTCCAAGATGGCCAAACTTCGTCTCTCATACTTCAGACATATTGTCAGGAAGGACCAGTCATTAGAGAAGGATAACATGTTTGGTAAGATGCCAAACGAGATGGATTGGCCAAGTGGCAGCATCGATGGACTCAAGCGTGGCAACCGTAGTGAGGTTGGTCCAGGATCGGGCAGTGTTCGTTCTGTTGTGCATAAGGTCACTATGGGTTGGTACCCCACTCGATGGCACCTAACAACAACAACAACAACTATTTTGATAAATTAGCTTATGTTTACGGATAAAAATACAAAGATAATTTTCTAGAAAGCAACCTGCTATTTTTTCATGTTTCAACACCAAATATATCACATAATTTAGGAATAGAGCATAGATCAGTATTTTCCATGTAAAAATTCCCAAGGTCTGTGGTGCTGCAAGGTGGGCAGTTCAAACCCACCAACAGCTCCTTGGAAGCCCTATACAGGTCACTATGAGTCACAACCTACTCTAGAACATTTAACAACAACAATAGTAGTTATGGGAGCGCGGTGATGCCATACGATAAGCACTGGACTGTGAACAACCAAGATCTGTGGTTCCAACCTGCCAGCCACTCTGCAGGAGAAAGATGAGGCTTTCTGCTTCCATGAAGATTTAATGCCTCAGAAACCCTTTACAGGGTCACTGTGAGTCAGATCCAAATCGAAGGCACTTAACAACAACAATCGTAATGATAGCTGAGCTTTTCTACCCGAAATATCTTGTCTTCCAATTTCTCTTTAAAACCAACAAAATGTCTCAAAGTGAAACAGATAATCATTCTGATTAATCAATGAACTCAATGAATTACTATTGAGTTCAATCAATTATTGACCAACCTTATAATTCAACCTACATAAAACTCATGTCTCAGAAGCCAAAAGTATTATACCTGAATTGTCCAAATAACTGCCTCAAATTTCTGTTTTTATTTTCTACTTACACTCTTCCTGGGAATACATTTTCCAGGTACCTTAACAGGCAATCCATTTTAGTCATTGCACTAAATGAATCTTTAATTGGGTGTTTGTCCCGATTGAAAAAGAACTGGAATAGTGACCTCAGAGTCTGAAAATCTGTGATATCATATTCTTAAACTGGCAATTCCTCTGACCCAAACCCGAGTTTTTTATGTTCTACTTTGCAAACTGGGTCTTCTTAAACTATTTGGTGGTATAATATCACCAGAATTACAGTGACTATTACCAGTTATCACTGAGTTAATTTTGACTCACCATGACCCCCTGTGTGTCAGAGTAGAGCTATCCTCCATAGGGTTTCCAATAACTAATTTTTTGGAAGAAAATCAGCTGAACTTTCTTCCAAAGCACCTCTGGGTGCATTCAAACCTCCAACCTTTTAGTTAGTAGCCAAACATGTTAATCGTTTGTACCATCCAGGAACCGCACAGTGACTATTAGAAGTCACAACTGGGTTGCTTGAGCTTGGAAACAAATTTTAAAACACTTTAGAAAGCATGAGTTGTTGGGCAGAAAAATACTGTAGTACCATCATTACTCCCACTTCTAGTCTGCAATATGTGTCTGAACTATTTAGAAATTTTTACTTAAAACTTCAGGAAACCCCGATTTCAGATTTAGTCTTTGGATCATATGTAAAGTCAGGTGCTCTTCAATTGCTGGATCTTGATCTCACTAAGGAAGTGGTGGTGGTGTTGTTTTTCTGTTAAGTGCTGCCAAGTTGGTTCTGATTCACAGCGACCCTGTATAGGGTTCTTGAGACTGTACATATTTGTGGGAGCAGAAAGCCTCATCATTCTCCCTTGGAGTGGCTGGTTGGGCTCCAACTGCCAACCTTATGGTTCAAAGTCCAACTATCCCATGCAGCCACTGTTCCCCAAGGAAATGGTGTTAGAGTCTTTTTTTTTTTTTTTTCTGGAAGGCTGAACAATGTAAACCATGAGGCAGAAAAAGAAAGTTTTTTTTTTTTTTGCTTTGTTTTGTATTTTCTGGCAGGTTGACAAGGTAAACTATGAGGCAGAAAAAGAAAGTTGGGTTTTTTTCCCCCTTTAATCTTTCTATTAGCATTTATATTACTCCTGAATAAAGAAAGGGGCACTTCTCTTTGTCATTTTTATGACAACTGTTTCTATATTCTTTCTTTGGTGCTGACCAATAAGATCCAAAGTAGATTTCCCATTAGCTAACTTTCAAAATTGTCTTAAATCTGAGCTGACTTGCAATTAAAAAAAAAAAAAAAATTGTGGAGGAAGAACATCAGAACTTTACAGTTCATTCCATGTAGCTGTCATGGCAATAATCTTAAATTCATGATTTCACAACAGGAACTGAGTAAGCTTTATTATATCCAGGCCATAAAGCTGATTACTTCATTCAGTACAGAAATGAATTCTGAATATCCCAGAGCACAGGACTCTTATCTAAATTCACAGTAACCATTGCCACCATTGCTAAGCTTCGTCTCTCATACTTTGGACATATTGTCCGGAGAAAACAGTCACTGGAGAAGGATGTCATGTTGGCTAAGGTGGAGGGTCAGAGAAAAAGAGGAAGACCCCTAACGAGATGGATTGGCCAGGTGGCATCATTGATGGACTCAAGTGTGGCAGCAGTAGTGAGGTTGGCCCAGGATCGGACATTGTTTCATTCTGCTGTGCATGGGGTCGCTATGAGTCAGTTCCGACTCAATGGCACCTGACAACAACAACAAATTACCACCAAAGAGCTGCAGCAGGAACAACCTGGTCACAAACTAAGCCTTTTAACCCAGGGAAACCCGAGCAGAGGGAGATGAGAGGACTTGCTGAAGGAGGAGAAGTGCCTCTTCCACTTAAATTTCAAGGGCCTCTTTCTTCTTGGAATCAGTAGCATCATTCATCGTGTCTCATCAGAAAGAATATGCCTTTCTGAAAAGATTCCATTAATTCGTATATATTTTTTAAGAATAAGAGGAGGCAAAATTCCAACAACCAGTACAATTAAACAAAAGGATCCCATAAAACAGGGATTAGGCATGCTATCTGGTCTACTTAGCTGGAACTATGTCACTAAATGGATCTTCAGATGAATCTAAGACAGAGTAGCTAGGAAATGGCACGTCAGAAAGCAAACAAATGCAGGAGATGAGAAATTAGAAGGCTTTCATAGTGTCACATTTCTTTTGGAGGATCAGCATGTGCACAGGGTCACACTGACAGATTCAAAGAGCAAATCAATGCCTAGAAGTAACAGAATATAAAGGGCAGGCTCAGCTGCCAGGTGGTTAATTTAATCAATGCAGACAGTCAAAATAAGAAATGGAAATCTGGTAATTACCCAGTTAAGTGGATTAGCATTTCAGGCTACAGAAGAATCCACACTATAGTTTGAGGCATCTTTCGCTTGTCAGTATTAATAAACTTAACCAAATAACTGTCATGTTCCCATGGTTTATGATGTGTTGATAAAATTGAAGAGTCATGCCCAAACACTTATGGTGGGAAGATAGAATAAAGAAGATGTGTAATGAATATGCATCTCTGTATTTGGAGGAGAACTGTTTTATAATGTAAATAAGGGAACTTAAAATGAGGCCTTTAGAAGAAGAAAAATATATATGCGGATGAGCTTCCGTGAAATAACTGGAATTTCTGGGAGTAAAATTAAATTCAAGCCTGGGGTAGAAAATCTTCTCTAGGAAAATTGCTGATGAGCAGTTTAGCCAGTCTTCTCATCATTTCTCACAGTAAACTGAAATTACAGATAAGTAATGCTCTTTCTGACAGTGATGTGGCTAAAACGTCCACATGGTTTCTTCCAGGGTCATTTTTCTTCCTACAAGTACTTTATCATATAATTGAAAGATATCACAATGTACTTTAACCTGCAGCCATAATGAGTCATCACAGTTGCATGTTGGAGTCTCTGAAATAATGATGTGGCAGCACCATTACAGCCTTTGAACAGCCAGGGCACTGTGTCCTTTGTGTGTGTAACAAGAGACTTTGTATTCAGCTTCTCCCCTCCGAGCTATAAAGTGGCTGGTTGTCACTAAGATTATAAATGCAATTAATATTTTATGGGTTCTATGCCTTGCTACATTGGAGGCCCAGAGAAGAAAACAGCAGTATTTCATGTTGTTAACAAAATTGTACAAGTAAAGTATGTTGATAAATATGATGAAGAATGAAATAAGTACTACAATAAGTCAACCAAAAATGTCCATATCTTCCCAAAAATATTCCTGCTAGGGGACAGAATAACATGGAGGTTCTGAGTAAGGGCTCTGAATTTAGACTCTCTGTTTCAAAGCCTAATTCCACCACTTGCTACTTGTGTGATCCCAGGCAAGTGTTTTAACTTCTCTTAATTCTGATTTCCTCATCTGTTCTGTTAAGTGCCATCAAGTCAGTTCCTACTCATAATGACCCTGAACAGGGCTTCTGAGGAGCGGCGAGGGGGTTTGAACCACTCACTTTGTGGTTAGCAGTTCAGTGCTTACCTACCACACAAAGACTCATAGATTGGCCCATAGCAAGTGCTAAGCTACTATTAACCAACAATATATAAAACCTTTCTCAAAGCCTAATTCATTTTAACCCTATTTAACCTTATTAGTTCCTTAATTCATTTTGCAAAACATTCCCACTATGAGCAAGAGATAAAGACGCAATTGTTGTTCATAAGAAGCTTCCTCTGAATGGGAATGGCAAACAAATAGAGAGGCGTATAATGCACTGCAGAATAATGGTTACGAGTTGGGCTGCTAACCTCAAGTTCAGCAGTTGGAAACTAGCAGCTGTTCAGTGGGAGAAAGATAAAGATTTCTGCTCCTGCAAAGATTCACAGCCTCAGAAACCCTATGCAGGGTCACTTTGTGTTGAAACTGACTCCATGGCCCACCACCACATCATAATACACTGTGGTAAATGCTTCAGTCTAAATAAACTCAGGGGGCCATCAGATTAGGGAGGATGTTGGGAAAGTCTTCATTGAATACCAAGTCAGTCAGTGTAAAGTATGGTTCTGGATTCTATGAGGAAAGAGGAACTAGAAAGTGAGGAGAGGAGGGAAGTGTGAATGGAATATAAAAGGAAATGGAAACAGTCTCTTCCTAAACCACAATGAAGCAATGAATGCAAATGATCAAAAGAAGAGCCATCAGGACCATGAGTGAAGTACAGATGGCTCAGTGAGTTCTAAGAAGAGATGGCTATTTCCAGATGGCTGAAATGGTGTGAAGTTTGTAAAATAAAGGGCTATTAAGCAAAGCCTGAGGAATGGTGAGTATTTTGACAAGCTGTTGTTGTTGTTGTTAAGTGCAGTGGAGTCGGTTCCGACTCATAGTGACCCTGCACAGGGTTTCCGAGGCTGTAAAACTTTCCGGGAGCAGAGCGCCTCATCTTTCTCCCACGGAACCGCTGGTAGTTTCGAACTGCTGACCTTACAGTTCACAGCCCGATTCGTAACCACTACGCTACCAGAGCTCCTTTTGACAAGTAGTAAAGGAAAAGTAAGTGTTCCAGAAGTCAGTGATTCATATTTCATTGTGGAAGACATGAGGACATAAGATGCTTTCTTGTGAGTCCCCTTTTAATGTTTAATAAAACTATGCATCATCATTAACCACATATTAGATTTCTAAAATACATATTGTAAATATTTGATTTCAGCTTTATTTTAAATCTTAATTCAAAGTTTAATTGTAGAGGTGTAGATTCCTATCGGTTTCTCTATTGTGGTTCCTAAAACTGAGCTCTTGTTTCTACTGATTTACTTTTGTATATGTCAAAAAATTTTGTATTTTCAGCAACCCAAATATATAAAGCTTAATAATCCAACAGTCATTATTGATTATAATATATTAAGACTGGTGTCATGCTATAGAATCAGCACTGAACTTTGAACCACAAGATTGGCAGTTCAAACCCACCAAATGCTCCTCAGAAACCCTATACAGGGTTGCTATAAGTTGGAACCAACTTGACAGCATTTAACAATAACAAATAGACTAGAATCAAATGTAAGTAACACACACTTAAAGAATTTTCTGAGCAGATTATAATCAAGTGTTCATTCACTACTTCAATATATACAAGAAGCCTTCAAAAATTTGTGGAAAAATTAAAAGGTAGTGAAAAAATTCCACCAACTTTGTAAGCCCCCTCATACAGTGCTTTTGAAATTTACATCATTTTAAAATCATCTCTGAACACTTTTATAATACCTCAACTCTGTCCTAGAAATGTTACACCCTTTCAAAGGTTTTAACTTTGTACTTTAGTCAGATATTGATAATCTCATTACGGTTGCTATATAACTTATTTAAGTAATAGCCTCTCATTCTCATCATTGGTCTACTTTCCAGGATTTAGCTAACCAAGCTGTAAGAATTTGCATTGTAATATTATTTTGGTAATCTTCTAATCTGATATAGAATGTACCTTCTATAATGCCTGGCATCAGTAAATAAGTGCTTGATCTACTACAAAGGTTTGCATTTATATATCTATCACCACCTTGTAAGGAGCTCTGGTAGCCTAGTGGTTATGAATCGGGCTGCAAACCTTAAGGTCAGCGGTTTGAAACTACCAGCCGCTCCGCGGGAGTAAGATGAGGCTTTCTACTCCCGTAAAGATTTACACCCTCGGAAACCCTGTACAGGGTCGCTATGGGTCGGAACTGACTCGATGGCACTTAACAACAACAAGGAGCTCTGGTAGCGTAGTGGTTACGAATCGGGCTGCTAACCTCAAGGTCGGCAGTTCGAAACTACCAGCGGTTCCGCGGGAGAAAGATGAGGCGCTCTGCTCCCGTAAATCTTTACAGTCTCGGAAACCCTGTGCAGGGTCACTATGAGTCGGAACCGACTCCATGGTACTTAACAACAATGTATAACAAAAATGGCTAGAAAACATGAGGGAATTCAGTGTCTTTATTTACTTTTGAAGTATTTAATTTCCAACTTCTGTTTATTGTTGTTTTTGTTAAGTGACGTCGAGTCAGTTCCAACTCCTAGTGACCCTGAATAAGGTTTCTGAGGAGTAGTTGGTGAGTTTGAACTGCTTACCTTGCAGCTCAAACTGACCTTGTGGTCCAGCAGATTATCCTCCTTTCTGTTTACCAGTCCTTGAAAAAATCCATTTGGTATAAAAATAATGAAAACATTGCCACCTCAAAATAATATCTTCTGGAAGAAAGAAAAATATGAAGTAAAAAAATGCAGGACTCCAAAATCACATTTACCTTTCCGTGGACTAAATGAACAAGTACAGGTCTTTGCAGAGCTTCCAAATTTTCCTTTCCTATGATTTTGGGTGTGTTTTTTCCGTTGAAGATGTTCTTCTCCCCTCTTTTCTGATTGACATTTTCCACATTCACATCATTCATCTGAAGTCATGAAAATAAATCTATTAGAAAAATGTCTCATGTCTATTTCCAAAGAAGTCTCTTAGAAAATAAACAGGTAAATGAATAGATAGGGTGAGATCATAGTTGTTGTTGTTGTTGTTGTTTTTGTCTTTTTTATATCCATACTTCAAAGGCCCTCAGAATTAATTTTAAAAGAACAGATAAAATATTCAAAAGTTAAATATTTGAATTAAGTCAAAACACTGACACTTAAAGAAATCTGTGATGTCAGGCTTACAATATTGTGACTTACATATGACTCTTCTATGTCACTCTCTCTCCGTTCATTCTGAACTGTTTCTGATTACGTGGTCTTCTTTTTTGTTCCAGTTATCTGGAACAAATCTTTCACCATTCTACTTCACCTATTTTTTATAAAATTAGAAACTTTTCTAATTATTGAACAATGTTTCTGCAGAATTCTATTGTGAAATGGCTCAGCGAGATGGATAATGAAGTTGGAAGATACAATAACTACTAAAGACTGCCAGAGAAGCAATGATTGCTTGGTAAATGTATTGCAATAACATCTCGTTATAGATATACATCAGTTACAGTGCAGCAAATCTTGTTCCAACTATTTGGTCCTAAGTACTTGTTTCAGACTAACATGTAAAAGAACAGTCAACTTTACTAAAGGTTTCTATTGCCTTTCGGTTCTTGAAAATCAAACACGGACTCAAAATAGCTTAAAATTGGGAGAAGCCTTAGAAGCCACCCAATTCAACCTTTTTTGCCTTAACTCATCAACGCTATACCATCATGACCAACCAAGCAACTGCTATCAGGGAACGCCTGGTAAACTTACAGATTAGGTTTACTCCCTCATTGATAATTTCACATTCAGGCACCTCCTATTATTTCTCCTCTTTCAATTAGAATTGGCTCAATTGTTTTTTATATGATGTGGATTTTAGACTCCTCACTCACTCCTAGAACACTTTAAGTAGATTCTACTTTAATATTTCAATCTATACAATATATAGAGCTGGACATTATATTCCAATTACTCACTACCATATACCTTCTATAGCCTTCTTCTATGATTTAAAGAGAGTAGATAATGTTTGATTAGCAAAAACCAAAATTGTAAATCTACTTTAGTGATCTATAACAAATCAAATGGGCATATAGCCAAGTACACAAAACAAGTATTACTGAATAGTAGATGTCTCAATAATTTTGGTGACATTGAGTTTTTGTGCCTTTCTGGTTTGGAAATGCCCACCGTGATTTTGATCAGTTGGTCATCATCCCCATCAGGATTCCTCCACAATAAGACAGCATCGACACTGGATGAAATTTGGTAGCCCACAGTGTCTTGGAGTTTTCCTTTTCCTCGATCAAGAAAAACTTCAGTGGAGTATGAGAGTTTGTATAGCCGATCATTATTGAGTGAGAGACCAGTGGTGTGACCTGCAAAGAGACAGTAATGTAAGCAAAGTTTTAGTCTAAGGTATCTTACTATCAGTGTCTAGCACTTTGGTGCCCAGTGGAATCTTAGCAAATATTTGTTAAATGAAAGAACTAGGCTCTGACTCAACTTTCCAACTGCTGAAATCATTGACTTGAAAAACAAACAAACAAACACCCTTTCATTTCAGAACATGCTATTTGGTATTCCTAAAAATTAAATGATCTATCTAAGTATTGTTCTGGTTGAACTAAGGCATTGTTAATGCCATTATATTATTGTTAGTTATGTGCGCATGATTACAAGTAGAGGTCCTGTTGAGATTTGCTTCATAAAATTAATAACAATCATTTTAATTAGCATATTAGTTACATGCAAAAAGATCAATGCTAAGGTAAGTTTAAAGGTTAGAAGTAGTTTCCTTGTTTAATTTGACAAAAGAATGTTCTTCCAATGTATTTACTCTGTTAATTTAGCAAGCATAATTTTATTACAAAACTATATTTACTATGTAATTTTTAAATGAACTGTCCTGTTGTTTTTGTTTTCCTTGTTTGCATTAAGCAAATGCTCTGCACAAGACCTCTTTAAAGTGTTGAAGAGCAAAGAGATCAGGTTGAGGGCTAAGGTGCACCTGACCCAAGCCATGGTATTTTATATAACCTCATATGCATGCAAAAGTTGGACAGTGAATAAGGAATTTCGTAGAAGAACTGATGCATTTGAGTTATGGTGTTGAAAGAGAATATTGAAAGTTCCATGGACTGCCTAAAGAACAAACAGATCTGTTATGGAAGAAGTACAGCCAGAATGTTCCTTAGAAGCCAGGATGTCCAGACTTTGTCTCTCACACTTTGCCCATATCATGAGGGACCAGTCACTGGAGCAGGATATCATATTTGGTAAAGTGGAGGGTTGGAGAAAAAGAGGAAGACCCCCGACAAGATGGATTGGCTCAGTAGCGGCAGCAATGGGCTCAGGTGTAGCAACAATTGTGAAGTTGGCCCAGGACTGGGCAGTGTTTCATTCTGTTGTGCATTGTTGTTATTGTTAAGTTCCAACAAGTCAGTTCTTACTCAGAGCAACCCTATATAGGGTTTCAGAATAACATCTGATGATTTTGAATAGCCAACCTTGCAGTTCAAACCATCCTTGCAATCCAGCGCTAATCCTATAGCACCACACCAGGACTCCAGTTAATTATAATGAGCCACGATAACTCCTCCCTACCCTCAGGAAATTATGCATATGAAAGAGGGTTGGGACAACTAGGTGGAAAGCAAGTTAGTTTGTAAAACCAAAAAATTAAGAACACCTCTGTAAAGTCTTTACTGTCTGCCTAGACAGAAACAATCTCCATTGATGCCACCACCTACTGCAGCACCCACAGCCCAGAGAAAAAATGGTCCAAATACACTCTCTCTAATAGCGAATTCTTATCATCGGAGAAAAGATTAAAGTTGTCAAGGACCTCATTCTTGGATCAACTATCAACAGTCATGGAAGCAGCAAAGAAATCAAACAACATATTGCATTAGGCAAATCTGTTGCACAAGACCTTTTTAAAGTGTTGAAGAGCAAAGATGTCAGCTTGAAGACGAATGTGTGCCTGACCCAAGTCATGGTATTTTCAATAACCTCATTTGCATGCAAAAGTTGGACAGTGAATAAGGAGGACCATAGAAGAATTGATGCTTTTGAGTTATGGTGTTGGAGGAGAATATTGAAAGTGCCATGGGCTGCCAAAAGAACCAAAAGATCCATTATGAAATAAGTGCAGCCAGAGTGCTCCTTGGAGACCAGGATGGCCAAACTTCATCTCTCATACTTCGGACATATTGACATGAGGGACCAGTCATTGGAGAAGGATATCATGTTTGATAAGGTGGAGGGTCAGAGAAAAAGAGGAAGACCCCCAGTGAGATGGACTTGCAAAGTGGCAATATCAATGGGCTCAAGCGTGCCAACAATAGTGAGGTTGGCCCAGGACCAGGCTGTGTTTCGTTCTATGAGTCGGTACCTACTCAATGGCACCTAACAAAATAGTTAATTCTTCTCTTTATTTCACATGTTTTAACTCATTTAATCCTCACAAAAGCCTAATGGTGTAGGCAATGTCAGCAGTGGAGTCAGGATTTAAATTCAGACTGTCTGGCACTAGAAACTAAGGTTTGGCCTGTCCTATGTTGTTGCTGTTGCTAAGTGCCATCGGTGGGTTCCCATGCATAGTGACCCTGTATAGGGTTTCCAAGGAGCAACTGGTGAGTTTGAACTGCTGACCTTGTGATTCAAGCGATCTTGTGGCCCAGTGCCTGTCCTAATGAATTAATTCTTAGAAATTTCTAGGAATGGAGAATGATTCAACCTAAAGTTTTACCTGTCCTATACTGCTCTAAGGAGTCCTGGTGTGGTGCTATGGATTGATGTGCTGGACTGCAAGGTCAGTTTGAATGACAAGGTTGGCAGTTCAAGTTCACTACCCATTCCTCAGAAATCCTTTACCGGGTCGCTATGAATAAAAACCCACTCCACGGTACTTAGCAACAACAATATACTGCTCTAAAACTTTAAGTTGAATCCTTCTCCTTTCCTAGGAATTTCCAAGAATTCATTCATTTACTCGCCAAGATATCCTGAGCACCTACTAAGTGGTAGGTAATGTTCTTTGCTCTGGGGCTATATCTGTTAACAAGCAGACAAAGTCTCTACTCTCATAGTAAATTCCATGGGAAGATGGACAGATTTAAAAGAAAAAGTAAATAAGCAAACTATATAGTATGTTACAATGAAGAAAATGAAACACAGTAGGGAAATGGAAATGCTGGAAAAAAGACTTCTATGCAAAGGTCATATTCTATGCAAAGATTTAAAATCAGCCAGAGGAAGAATGATTGCATTCCTCACAGCGAGAATAACAAGTGAGAAGGCTCTGAGGAAGGCACACAAAGGAATAATGGAGAAACAGCAAGGAGGCCAGACAGTCTGAAATTGAGTAAGTCAGAGACACAGAGGTAGACAATGAAGTCACATAGATACCTACAGTCATGGAGAAGTGGTGGGAGGACACGTGTATTGTTTTGGAGTTTGTCTCTGAGTGAAATGGGAAGCAACCAGATAGTTTGTTGTGGTAAAGTGAAATGATATGGCAAACCTTCCAAAAATGGGGACAGATTAAGAAATTAAGAAAAGCCAGGAGAGGGAAATGGGAGAGTAGATAGCCAAGTGTGCACACCTAAAAACAGACAGTGACAGTGTCCAAGCAGCAAGTCAGGCAGAACCTGAGGTATGAGATACAAAAAGCAAAGGTCTGAGGAAACACCTTGAAGGAGATGAAGTCTCTGAGTCTCTCCAGACTTCCATCTCCGACTCTTGCATTTTAACCTGGGACTCTTCTACTGACTCACACACTGGATATCTGATCAAGGAAGATATTTTGGGCAGGAAGGCCTTCCTTTTGTGGCACTTCTCAATTTATTGGTAGGATGTAAAGGAAATAAATATTGACTTATTTAATATTCACAGCAATCTTGAAAGGTAAGCATTATTCCAACAGTTAATGGAAACGGATTGAATTAGACTTTATGTTCAAGCCAATAGCAGCATGATATAGAATTTTACTGAAATCCAAAGTTTTGTGTCTTTCTTCCTTTCTTTGGAGTAGGGTTTTTTTGTGTGTATGTGGAAACATACATAAGAAAACATACACAGTTCAACAATTTCTGCAAGTACAATTCAGTGACATTGGTTACATTCTTCAAGTGATGTCCTCTTTCTCAACAACCATTTCTAAATGATTTCACCATCATTAGCACACATTCACTGCCCCCCTAAGCTTCTCATCTATTCTTTCACATTCCTAATGTCCATTTGATCACATACACATTAAACATGCTTTCTGATTAAAATAAATATGAAAACTCTATGGGAAGGTGATTTTCCTTAAATTTCAACGTATCATATTATTCTTTTTTCTCATATTTTTTTTCCCTTGTTGTTGTTTGGTGCCATCAAGTTGGTACCAACTCATAGCAACATTATGCACAACAGAACGAAACACTGCCCTATCCTGGACCAACCTCACAATTGTTGCCACGCTTGAGCCCATTAATGCCGCCACTTTACCAATCCATCTTGCTGGGGGTCTTCCTCTTTTTCTCTGACCCGGTACTTTACCAAACATGATATCCTTACTAGTCAAAAATAAGAAAAGAAAGAAAATGAACTACATTACATTCTTGACTGTCATTTAGAGGTTTTAAAGTATAGGAAAGAAGGGCTTTTGTTCTCCCAAAACGTTTTTGTTTTTTTTACCAAAGACATAGTTTACCATGGCTCAAATAAATGTATTTGACTTTAGAGTTGTCCTCGCCATCCTATCCTATTTAATGAGCATTTCTCTGTTTATGTTATTCAAATCTGGCAACACTAAGCAATGGAGGTATAGACTTAACTTAATTCTGTTCATTTTATATTGCTGTTTTAATTTCTTTTTAGGATGTTGTTCTTTACAGTATGCAGGACTATTTTGTAATGGATATTAGATAAAACCAAAAGAGAAATTAATTTTAACAAATAAGGAGTACCACTTCAATTTGCTCTTCAAGTGCATTTAGAATTTTTTTAAGTGACTTAAAAGTGACCAAACTCTTAGTTTTGAGCCTTTTAAGAAATGTCTTAAAATAGTCATTGATCAAATTTAGGTTGATCCAACAGCACAGTTCACTGACAAGAAGACAAAGTTGAGATAAGTTAAAGGTGAAGTTTGAAGAGATTTCCAATTGTGGTACAATGATTGGAAATGGAGTTTAAGAATCCAGCAGAAAACTATCTAAAGTCAGAAGTAAGAGTAGGACAGAGTTTGAATCAGGGGAAACTGGAAGCTGATGAATATGAATGGACTGAAAGACTATAAGTGAAGGAATTGTTGTTGCTGCTGGTCAGTGCCATCAACTTGGTTCCAACTCATAGTGACCCTATACAGGGTTTCCAAGGAGTGGCTGGTGGATTTGAACTTCTGTCCTTGCAGTTTAAAGCAACCGAGCAGTGCAATGCTTATCCTACAGCACCATACTATGAATAGTTCAAATGTAAAGGTTACCAGATTAAATAGAAAGCTTATGTGTGGTTATCAAAAGTGAAGGTACTATAAAGAAGACTGGAAGAAGGCACTGAGAATAGATGCACCATCACAAAGTATAATTAAGAAAAAGTAAGGAATCAATGTCACTGAATGGAACATGGAGAAACTGGTGGATCTGTGTATGTTTTGCCATGTATATTTTTAATAACAGCAAAATAAATAAAATTATATAAGCATTGGGCTGCTCACCAGAGGTCCACTATTCAAACCTACCAGCAGCAGCACTGCCACGATTTTACAGTCTCAGAAACCCTAGGAGTAGTTCTAATCTGTCCCATAGGGTTTCTATCAGTTAGAATCAACTCGATGGCAGTAGGACAAGCACTGAACTGCTAACTGCCAAGGTAGGCAGTTCAAATCCACCAGCTGCTCCTCAGAAACCTTATACAGGGTTGTTATGAGTCAGAACTGACTCAACAGCACTTAACAACAGCAATATGAAGGGCATTGGTAATTCAGTGGTAGAGTTTTTGCCTTCCACATGGGAGCCATGGGTTCAATTCCCCACCACTGCTGCTCAAGTGCCACCACTAGTCTCTCAGTGGAGGATTATGTGTTTCTGTGCCACTGAAGAGGTTTCAGTGAAGCTTCCAGAGTAAGACAGATTAGTAAGAAAAACCTGGCAATCTATTTCCAAGTATCAACCCCTACAGGATGACAGTAATAGGATTTTATGATTCAGTTGTGAATACTGTTAGCAGGATTAATTGCACTTGTCACAGCTGTAATTGTAGAAGATGTGTAACTAAAAGGAGGGTGTAGGTTATCTTTCATTTCAGGAACAGACAATCACAGGACCATCAAGAAGTAAGAGGATAAGTGGAGTGTGAGATCTCTACCTAGAAAAGCAGCGGCAGCAAAGACCGTGGCTGTGCGCCTTCGGGAAGGAGGCTGGCTGGCAGAATGTGCCCTTTGGACATTTAAATGAATATATATTTTTCATGTTGTGTGTGTATATCAAATTTTTTGCCTTGCTCATTCGTGAAATATACGATGTCAGTGGGGAGCCACAGGGAGGAAGTGGGATAAAAATTGTTGCAAGGAGGGGATTTTATAATCATTGAAATGAAAAAAGGTATATGGTTTGCTGAATGTAGAGCTGATGATCTTGTCTATAAACCTTCACCCAATTAACAATAAAAAGTTTTTTAAAAAATCAACCCCTATGGCTTACAATGCTTTGGCTTTGGAGGATAAGCACTGGACTGAAGACCACACAAGTCAGTGGCTGGAGCCCACCAGCCCCTCTAAGGGAGAAAGATGAGTCTTCTGCAGCTGTAAAGATTGACAGCCTCAAAAAAAACTATACAGGGTCGCTATGAGTCGGAACCTACTCAGCCACACTTAACTATAATAAATAGATCACAAAGATCCAATACCTTTATCTGTGGATCCTCCACGAGATACTCAATGGCAGTTAACAACTACAGGGAAAATGGGAGTCTTTAGAATGCTCACAATCAGCATATTGCTTCTAAACACTAATTTTCGTGTTTAGAATCCCAACCTCTCCTCCATAGTTGGGAATCTGTCAAACAGTGGCATTTGTGATTTAAATTAGAGAAGAGTTTTGAGATGATGCATGGGATGATGGCCTGATTTTAAGGTGGACTCTTTATAGTACTTTGCTAGTTAAATCATTATAAAAAGCAAAAAGTCATCATAAAATCATGATACTATCTAATGCAAATGCATATCGGATCTAGATTGATAGACAGCTCTCAAGTTCTGTATTTTTTATTTGTTATATTTGGTATAAACATCTTGTACCTGGAAGCCAATGAAAGGTAAGCTTTAGGCCTCCTTACTTGCCCAGGATCCTCCCAAGACATTGGAAGAGGGCCCTTACTAAGTGTACTCCTATTATATCTTTTCCCAGTAAAATGTTCAAAAGCAAGTTGTTTTTTATAAGCCTCTCTCAAAGACGTCCCCTAAATTGCATAGTCGTCTAATTCTGACAATCTGGATTTGCATCTGAGCTTATTCACAATGGGCTGTAGTTATTTATTGCATTCTAAGACATATTTTCCTGTATATCATTGCTCTGTGTATGTGTGTGTAAATAAAAGGGGGCTTCATAAGTCCATGGGAATAGTCTATTGTCTTTTAATTCCATTTCCCCATGAACTTTAAAAAGCACTCTTGTATTTGTATGAGGAGCTTTGGTAGCACTGTAGGATAAGTACTGGATTGCTAAACACAAGTTCGGCAGTTCAAACCCACCAACTACTCTTAGGGAGAAAAATGAGACTTTATGCTCCTGAAAAAATTTACAGCCTCAGTAACCCTATACAAGGTAACTGTGAGTGGGAATAAACTTGATGGCAGTGGGTTTTGTGCTTTGTATGGAGTCCTGGCGTGGCGCTGTAGGTTAAGCACTTGATTGTTAACAGCAAAGTTGGCAGTTCAAACCTACCAGCCACTCCTTGGAAACCCTATTCAGAGTCAGTATGAGTGGGAACTGACTGACAGCACTTAACAACAGTAATTCTTTTTTTATAACCTTTATAAATGAATGTATTTGAAAATTAGTCTTGCTGCTGTATTATTGAAATCACTCACATTTCAGATCCTCAGCAGTTTATTTAATACTATTTAATAAAATAGTAAGTTCCCCATGTGACAATTCTTAGTCGGGTATCACTTGCTTCTCATCTGAAGAAATTTTTCATGACTCAGAACCTTATTTTTAAAGACGAAATTTAAAAGAAACTCATGAAAAATATATTTAACTCAATAACCTAAAGTGTGATTTGCTTCAGAGAAATAAACTTAGCCTACCATTTACTGCTCCAATAATAAAGACTATCTTTAAATTTCTGACACAAAAATCTTGAGATCCAGTTTATGATCAAAAGCCAAAATGATCCCAAAAGCGTTTTTAGAATTTATAGATGAATTGTTTTCTATCAATTACCTAATCAACAGCAGCAAACAATGATAATACACATTAGTTTTTAAAGTTGGACTCCATCATACTAAGTAATATGTTTTAGAACAATTGGTTTTAACAGAGTGCCTCCTTAAGAGACTCTAAAAAGTGAATTTTACATGAAATAACATTTAGATATCCAAAGTTTTTAATATAGCTGATTTAAAACAAGATTTCATTAGTATTACATTTCATAGGGCTTTTCAAAAGTATTCCTCATATTTTTTCCCTCCAGACTTTCTCTGAAGGATGTATTTTTAAAAAATCAATTTTGTCTTAATATAGAAGCTATGACTAGCAATACTATTTTCAAATATTGTTACTTTTTTCTTAAGTCTTTATCATATAGCATAATGATTATTTCATTCAGCTATCCTCATTCTATCATTTTTGAATGGCAGTGGAATTAAATGCATTGTTTTAACATTTCATTCATAATTCCTTGGCAAGTCAAATGCTTTTCCACTGAGTCTAATTCTTCCTGGTGTCACATTGCTAAGCAACTAGAAGGAAATTTAGGAGCTTTTTTTAAAATCTGCTTTTACAATTCAAATAAGGGAACAGCACTCAAAGACTGACCAATAGGTAACAATAGCTGGCATCTTTTTTCTCCTCTTTTAAAAAATAGAGCACGAATGGGAAACTGAAACAAGGAACACACTGGGCTGAGGAACTGAAGACTCAAAGGGACCTTTGTTTCCTTAATGTATGTAAGAATTTGAATTTGGTTTCATTCCAATCCAGTCATGCCTTCACAAACATTCTTAAATTACATAGCTTGGAAGATGGTTTCATGAGGAACTCTCACAATAAAAACACACACACACATTTTTCCTCCCAAAATTAAAGTTTAGCAAAAGACAACACAAACTTACCTTTAACAGAAGCTGAATATGAGGAAATGAAGCAGAGAAAAAACACAGCAAGAAGAATCATATTGACTAGCTAGCTACCCTTGTGTGCATCCAGTTCCCAACTACGAGTCACTGAGAAGTGGAGTCTTCAGAAGGCAGCCCAGAAAGTGATCCTCCTCAGAATCTGCAACAATAATGTTTATCTATGGAGAAAGGTCAGATTCCAAACTCCAAAATCAGGACCTAAGTTCATCCAAGTGCTCACTATTAATGATTAAACTTAGGTGGGCTGCTGTTTTCAATCTCTCACTCTTCTTTTTTTTTTTTTTTTTTCCACTCAGAAGGAAAATCAAGAACGTTTTGATTTCTGAGAGCCAATCCAAACCAGTCCTATGTTTCTATAACTGCAGCAATACTCAGGGACATTTAAGGAAAAAGTGCTCATGGGATTTTCTGTCTAATATATAATCCTATAATTGACTATCTTCACATTTCATCAGTTTATGTGGGAGAGTCATGGGGCGTCTCAAACTCAGTTTAACTGATTTTACTATTTCTTGTATACATATATGGTGGTGGTGGTTGTGTGTCATAGAGTTGGTTCTGGCTCATAGCAACCCTGTACAGGGTTTCCAAGACTGCAAATCATTACAGAAGCAGAAAGCCTCATCCCTCTGCCATGGAGCAACTGGTAGATTCAAACTGATGACCTTGCTGTTAGTAGCCCAAAGCATAACCCACTATGATACTAGGGGCATGCTCTCTCTCTTTTACATGTATATATAAATTTACTTTTGAACTTTTTACTAATATTTGCAAGCTATTATAAAAAGTATCTGAGTTTTAGGATTTAAGTTGAAATTTAATCACACACCACAATCACTTCAAATTACTCATAATACTAAAGAGAACTTTCATCCTGAAATCTCAAAGATTCTCCTTGTTGTGGTGGTGGTTAAGTGCCGTTGAGTTGTTTCTGACTCATAGCGACCCTGTATAGGGTTTCCAAAACACAGCTGGTAGATTTGAACCACCGACCTTGTGGTTCAAACTGACCTTAAGGTCCAGCACATTATCCTGCAGTACCACACCAGGAGTTAAACTATATGGAGTTGAAGAAACCAGCTTTGTCTATCTTTAATTTGAGGGCAGTTGTGGCTCAATGGTAGAATTCTCACTTTCCACGCGTAAGACTCAGGTTTGATTCCCAGCCAATGCACTTCAAGTGCTGTCACCATTTGTCAGTCCATGGAGGCTTGTGCTGCTATGATGCTGAGCAGGTTTCAGCAGCATTTGCAAACTAAGGGGGGAAAAAAAGCCTGGTAATCAACGTGTACTTCAAAAAATCAACCAATGAAACCCCTAGGCATCACAGTGGTTCGTTCAATCCCATTGTACCTGGGGATGTCATACATTGGGAGCTGACTCAACCGCAACTCACATCATTTAGGTACTAGCATTTTTTAGCACATTTGGGTACATCATAGTAGACCTATCATTGTACATCTCTGTTTATATTGATGACAAGAAATACTTGTTTGAGTGCCCATACTGGCGAAATGGAGTCCTGTGTTTCTGCGTCTCATTTCTAGGTGTACAGGAGAAGTCCCAGCCCTTAGACTAGCATGGTTAAAGCCATGCTGACTGAACCATAGCTGCTATAAACAAAAAATTTTTAAATGAGATAATTGGGGGGACATATGGGAATTATTGGGCAAAGAAGCGAATAAAGTTCTGGGGAAAAGCTATTTTAATGTATTTTTAAATATTTACGGCCATGTTCCAATCTAAAACAAGTCACTGAATCTACATTAGTGTCTCTCAAAATCCTTCTTCTAGAATCCTAATCTGAAACCTAAATCTTCTAGAAAATCCAGATAAAAGACAGCAGACTTAACAGGGAGGACTACAAAATAAAATATAAAATATAAGAATCTCCAAAGTTAAGCACATTTCCTTTATTTTTGTTAAGTTTTTATTGTGAATTACGTGGGTTTACATGGGAGAACATCAGTTTTACATTCATCCTATCATATTTTGTTTCATTGTAATGATCACAATCCCCTCCATGCATCATCAAATAACCAAAGGGTACATCCCACAAGACCGCCCCCCAGCCTTCAGCATACAGCCCCTTTCCCTTCCTGAGTTCAGTGTTTCCAGCCACTCCATCTGTCCACGTCATTGTCTCTGTCTCCATTCCTGATATCACTGCCTCTCTAGGTAGGGTCACGCTCTCAGCTCTTCTTACTTGATGGTCCCAGGGACCTTGCTCCTGGGCTGCAAAATCAATCACTCCCCTCCTTTTGTCAAAAAACATCTACCTCTACATTTTCGACCCTCATAGTCAGTCCTGATGGCAATTGTTCACTATTGTAACACAAGAGTCTTATCCCCATTTCTTTTCGCCAGCCTGATTCCAACAGAATGGAAATCATTCAGTGGAGGTTCTACCTACCCCTGCCCCA